ACAGTAAGTCTACTTGCACTCTCTGGTATGGAGTTGTGTGTTTTAATGTCACATCTCCACAGAAGTTTTTTATCTTGAATACAAATGATCAAACCTTGACAAATGATGGAAGATCCCCCAGAGTCCTCGTTAATTTTTAAACCACTCAGTAAATATTTTCTAAACTTAAAATCAGTTCCATCTTCATTGAACCATTTCATCAACTAAAGTACTTAAAATTTATAACAGTCATAATCACATCTCAAGTCATAATGTAATACAAATTAAAGCAAGCTTCTATTAAGGAGAGAAATGAGGAGTTATAAGATAATGCCACAAACTTTTCCATCAATTTGTCATTCCCTCAATTAAATGCCCTTACATATTAATATATATAAAGAAAAATAAAAGCTTGAAAAATCCCAGGCATGATAGTTACTTATCATTCGCTGTATATGTACATTACTTAAATATAAAATAATTAATATATAGGAGGTCGATTACTTATACAAGTAATAAAACAAAATTCGAAAGTTAAGTATGATGTAGTGATGGCAATGCCAAAAAGTACAGAAACAAGGTAGGTATGAATACACAAAACAATACAAAAATCACTATATAAGTAGCCAAATCTTTCCAAAAATAACTTTTATCTACAACTAAACGTTGAATTCCCGACAGCTGCATGAATTCAGATTTGAATAGAAGCATTTAAGCTGAATAGTGCTATACATTCTTACAGTGGCTAATAACCATAAGATTATAAGACTGACTAAATACTTACTTGCTACTTATGTAGGGATTTTTGCAATTTTTTATAACTTGTTTCTTCTCTTTTTTAACACGATTTCATTGAAATAGGTTAATAAGTGAGTGTTTGTTATATTTTTATAATTCAATGGTATATTGTGAATATATTATCATTTTTGTGTCAGTTTCTCTAATTTTGGATTACATTGGGGGCCAGCGAAGCTGGAATGGTACCTCCAGGACGGTACAGTACCCAACAGTGCTGGACAGACGTTAAGAGGATACTTACAGAACCCACGTCATCCAATTTCCCCACAACTCACTGCACGTGCATACAATCAACTCTACCACATGCTAAGGTCAAGTCGATTAATAGGGAGGACATAATACATATCCCAGGCCATGAAGGATGATACCACGCATACACACACAGCTGCCAGGCTCGGCCCCACTGAAAATTTGAAGAAAGTAGACAGCTATATAATATATTATTTGGATAATTAAGAAACTAATGTTTTTAAACTCAGACATCAATTTACATGTACATAGATCTATCAGTTACATAAATACTTGATCTTCTAGATACCTTGAATATTAATTTAGTTTATTCTTTATTTAATTATTTAATTTTACTGAAATTGTCTTGGCAGGTATCATGTTGGTACAATGCAAAATCACACACGGTCGTTATAAAAGAACAATATGTGCTGCCATCTAGCGAATAGAAATAAAACTGTTATTTATGAAACATGGAAATAATTATGCTTATAAATTGAACTCACTGCTAAGTAGCAGTTTTCCTTTTAATTATTTCACCACACAAGTACGTGTGGTAGAAGAACAGAATAATATTACTGTTATATAAGCTGTGAAACACTCGATAATGACAATTAGGTACTCAAATAAAGCTATAACTCAACCTCAGCAACTGAGCTTAGTGATAGTCTGTTCCCAAGAACACTTAAAATGTGTCGCAACTAAAACCATTGCGAAAACTTCTTTATTTTTTTGGTTAGTGTGGGAGAAGAAAAAAGAACGTAGAACACTTTGGCTCTTTAGCTAGCTCCAAGTTCTCCACTTTACAAACACTTTTCAATAATATTGGGAGTGTCACAAGATGTGAAACTTTCGATAATGGCAATTAGGTACTCAAATAAGGCTATATCTTTTTTAGCATCATAAAGTAATAGATTGAATGCGGCGGCCATTTTTTTCTCGGCCCATCTCTACATACTAAACACTACCTAGTTAGTGATTATCAAAGGTGTTTAAAACGAAGAATTGCACAGAACCTGTTTACTTCGGCTTACAAAAACAATTTACTGAGCCTTAATGAGTTAACTCTACGATAGATATAAATAATTTATATTTAAACGTTTAATGCTTAAGTTGGGCTTAAGTTGTACACTTTCTATGTAATGTTACTTACTTTATTCTAAAGTAACACTCATCATACTAGTTCACTTATTTTGGTTATTTGACAGTCGTTAAATTCAACATAATCATGACTGCAGAACCGTTTTACTGAAGTCTTTTTCCCTTGATTACTGTAATCTCTATAAGTGATCAAATGTATTATATATATTTTGTGTAATTAATTTAATATTTAAAACACACATAAAGCTACTTATTCATGTACAATTTATTATTGAAACTAATAAAAAAGACACGTCAGATCAGCAAATTAGTTTCTTGAACTGTTTTAGCTGCTTTTCAGGCATATGCACTTCGTCAGACATAGTTAGTGGATAATAATGTATCAAAAAAGTTTTAATAAACTCAGTCTTTTTATCTGACGTGTGGTTTTTATTAGTTTCGAATACGTTTCCACGTGTTGCGGTAATATCTGCAGTGTATATTGACATTTATTTATCTGACCTATACGGATAAGAAGGATGGTAGAAAATATAATATAGTAAAATTATGTACGAGGCAATAATATTTAACCTTATTTAAAATATTAATTACAGTCACAATTATATTCCCTACGTAAAATCACGCTATAAGAGGAACGTGTCATGTGATAAAACTATTCTGAGAAACTAATCAGCATTTATTATGCTGTCATGAGTCTGCTTGTATTTACATGACATTTCATATAAAGCGTTTCAAGTATTAAAAAAATACTAGGTATGGCCTGTTGTTTGGGATATATATATTCTTACTTTTTTATTATTTACACCAAAATGTTCTAAATCTGTGTAACACAGAAGTTATGTCAAACAGGCATGTATGTTTTTCTGTTGTTATTGAAAATATAATATAATTTAGTAAAACAAAAACATTTACGTATTACAAGGGCGTTATTATAATGGTTTTGAAACATGTAATTCACGCATAAAATGTAAATCGTAAAGCATTTACCAGTTTATTCGGTTTGCCGTATTAAAAAGCTCTGGTGACTATTTTGAAAATATTCCATTATAAACTATACTAAGTCGTTTAGCAACAAACATTTATATTTAGGGCCCTTTGTAATGTGTAGAATGGTTAGTATTAGCGATTGTTTATTATATTCAATTAAGTGTTTTTATTTCCTAAATAATTATACTGATTCAATATTTATATAAGTTGGTTATCTTTGTATAGATAAAATACTGTTTACTGAAAAATTACAATTTCCTGTCAATAGAAAATAGCAAAATAAATTCTTAAATTATAAGTGTATTAATAGGTTGTAACCCGATATACAGCTCTAGTGTACGAAAGCCAGATCTATGAAATTATAACTTTATCCTTTAAGCCTCTTACATTATAAGCCATGCGAAATCGTAACCGTCCCCTATACAATATGTTTAGACTCACGGTTTCAGCAAAATATAAAAGTTATCGCTGAATTACTAACTTTATAAATATTTTTCTTGAAATATAAATTACATAAATTAAAGCTTAGAAATATCACAAGTATCTTACGAAACCTATCTCACTTATATCGAAGAATTATTCACATTCCCACTGATAGTAGACTATGCCTTACTATCTCAACAGGTAAAGCTTTAGTGATGGAACTAGGTCACAAACACACACACACACACACACACACACACACACACATATATATATATATATATATATATGAAGCTTAAGTATGGGTTCTACGCTATCAAAGAATTCGAATCTTTAACAAAAGTATGGAACTATACTAAATATTCCTGAGATTCTTTAGTTTTGTTGATATAAATAAACAGCTTCAACCTCAGACCGCGATTGGTTACTTTGACCACAGAAGAAGCTAATCACGGCTACAGGATGGGAAGTGGAATGGATGGAATGCACCAATCTGAATGAGTCATGAATCGAGAAATGTGGTTAGTAAAGTTGATATTTATACAGAAGGTTAAGTACGTTATATCAAAACGATTTTAAATATGCATATCAGCAAGTCACAGCCGATATAAAGTTGCGTTGGAAAGACATGTATTAGAACTACGTTTTTGACATGGTTTGGCGTTACGTAGTTAGTGTGACGCCATTGAAAATTGATCGCTTTTGATAAGGGTATGTAACGGCCCTTTCTGAAAAAAACAAACAAAAAAAAACATATCCATACTCTCAGACTATAAAGTTGCGTTTAGATTGGAGATTTAGAATTTCCAAGACGGGATATCCATTGTACATAACGGGGCAGTACGCAACATGATTAAGAAGGATCTCCGTCTGTAACAGTGACACAAGTCATGTATACACAAGTTGCTTCCACGATATATCCATTCAATTGTCACATACCTCAAGCAGTTGGTGAAAGAAATGGGTATTCATGCTATTCAATACGAAGATATACCAATAAAGTTGCCGGATGCAGCGCCTATAGATATCTGTGTGATAAGACTTGAAATGACCGCTAGGAAACCATCGTTCTCAGACATTAGATGGATTATGGAAAACCATCAGGGAGGAAGGGTGTGCTTTGGAAATGATAGCTTTCGACAGAGCATTTTCAATGGAATCTACGATGCAGGACTATTGCCAAGATGCAACTTCGTCAAATAGAGCATGATCGGACTTACCGACATAGACTGGAACGATTTGGTGAGGCTTCAAAATAGTATTAGTATAAGATATGCAACCTCGGTATAATTTAAAGGTTGGTATATTCGCTAGGATGCTATGCGCAGAACTTTCAAACGTCAAATTCCATTCTCTCACTAGAAATACTTTTCAAGTTAATTCACACTAGCGGTAAAAGTAAATTTTGATATCAATACAAACACAAGTCAAAGCATGACTAGACGAGGACGTTTCAAAGAACATCACAGGATGGCGCCACACTGTTAAGTTTTCAAATCTCGTACTTGCTGCCTCAGTAAGGAAGCCTTTTCAGGTAAGATAATAGTAACAGTGCTGATGTCACAGTCAGAGTCAGCATTTTCACTTCCACCTGGTCTTAGAAACTCTGCTATTTCGGTATCTTCAGGACAAAGTTCAGGATCTCCTTCGCTTGCTGCTAAAGACTCGACTTCTGTACCTGCCGTACTAATCTGACCTACAGAGTCTACCGATGACAACAGCGTACTTTGAGAATCCACTTGGTTTTCTGACTCAATCCTTATACTTGGACACACCGCTAAAAAAGAGTCACTTTCAGCTGACCTCTGAGGCTGTTCTATTACATTTGTGTTCGTGTCTAGTGAATGACACAATGTGACTCGCTTTTTCAGCCTCTGACTCAGGTCTGAATTTCCACGCTGCATGGGTCGACTGATGTTCTTTATTACAGGAGTGTTGGGCTCACTAGGTTGTTTCTCTGCAAAATTATATCTGACTCTGTCCAGTGTGGGTGGAATAGCTGAAGGAAGTGGTGAGGTGGGACTTTTTAGGGGCGCTAAAGTCATCATGGAGTGTGATGGCGAGGGCGGTATATTGTTAAGTGTCACAGGTGAATTCCATTGTTGTCTATCTTCTAAGTACATTTCCATGAGCTGGTCTAACTTATTCTCGATATCTTCAACCTAATTAAAAAAACAGAAAATATATACTTTTTCAGTAAATATTATAATCATGTTTTAAATTCTTATCATATGACCGAAAGAAAATATATTCTGAAAATTTCATCCTTATTCTTACACCATGAGGTAATAAATGGCAGGTTCCTCAGGTAACTTGCGCAACAGCACTAAAACAAGATGAACACTACAGTTCATGTTTTAGTTCGTATTTTTAATTTCTGATAAATATAATTTCGTCAAAGGTTTTTAAAAATAAACGAATATAAAACACTGTGCACTACCTTCTTATTCATATATTAAAAACAATTAATTAATAGAAAAAACACTGTGCACTGTATTGTTTTATATATTAGGAATACTTAAAGAAAAACACTATGATCTACCTTTGTTTATATATATATATATATATATATATATA